CCCATCGGCCAGTACGCTCCCACAGGGTGGGTCTCCTCAGGGTGCCGTCGGCCAGACAGTGCCGGCTGGCGACCCCAAGGGGGAGGGCCTTCTCTGTGGGAGCTCCCACCCTCTGGAATGAGCTGCCCCCAGAGATCAGGGTGATCCCTGATCTCCCTTCCTTCCGCCGCGCCCTCAAGACATGGCTGTTCCAACAAGCAGGACTGGCCTAGGATAATTTTTAAGAGGGGTTTTTAGAGGGGTTTTTAATCATATTTTAATCAGACAAATTTAAATATTTCATTTTAATTAATTTTAACTTTGTGATTGTTATTGGTGTTTTTAATTGATTGTCAGCCGCCCTGAGTCCGCAAGGAGAAGGGCGGGATATAAATTCGAATAATAAATAAATAAAATAAAATTTACATAATTTCAAAATGTCCAGAGTTAAATCAATGACATGTAACTTCTCAAGTTTGAAGTCTTCGCTTGGCTTTTGCTGGACCATGCTGGGTTATACTCTACATAGTAGTGAGTGGTTCTAGGATAAAATATACAGTATAAAAGATAAAGGTAAAAGTTTCCCCTGTCCAGTCATGTCCAACTCTAGAAGGGTGGTGCTTATCTCCATTTCTTAGCCAAGGGAGCCAGCGTTGTCTGAAGACCTTTCCTTGGTCATTTGGCTGGCATGACTATAAGCCGAGGCACATGGTACGCTGTTACTTTCCCACCAAAGTGGTACCTATTAATCTACTCTCGTTTGCATGCTTTCAAATTGCTAGGGGGGCAGGAGCTGGGGCAAATAACGAGAGCTCACCCCATTGATGTTCAGGTCGCGAACCCTGGCTGTCGCCTTTACTAGCTGCCAGGCTCAGCGTCTTTAACTGCTAAGCCATCACGCCCCTTATACAATATATAAAGTGAAATATTAAGGCTGTGAAGTGTTTGAGTTTCATTTTGGAAATGGTGCTTTGACTTGCCTTCGTAGAATTCTGAGGATCCGGTGGCAGGATAAGATACCAGATACAGATGTCCTCTCCAGAGCAGGTCTATCATCAGTTTACACTCTGTTGATGAAAGCCCAGATGCGCTGGGCAGGCCACGTTGTAAGGATGCCAGACCATCGCATCCCTAAACAGCTCTTCTATGATGAGCTGTCTCAAGGAAAGCGATCGCACGGGGGACAAAAGAAGCGATACAAAGACACGCTGAAAGCATCTCTCAAGTCCCTGGATATCAACACCATCTCTTGGGAATTTTTGGTGCATGATCGACCGACATGGCGTACCCTGGTTTACCAGGGGTGCCAGACATATGAACACAGAAGGACAATCTTGGCACAAGAGAAGTGAGCACTCCGTAAAGCCAGAGCTGCAAATGCTGAAGCAACAGTGTCCACATTTCTCTGTTCAGTATGTGGCAGAACATTCCGTGCTAACATCGGTCTAATCAGCCATATACGGACACACCGTTGATGGCCCACAATCCACAAGATGTCAAGGTCTTCATCGAAAATCGATGGACGAACAACACGGTGCTTTGAAACGTACAGGAATCCAAATGCAGCCCTGTCTGGGCATCATTAAAGCAGCATCTGTTTACCAGATTATCGGAAACCTCCCTCTAGCAGCTGTGGAAAAATCAGTACATCTGTTTTAATGAGATGCAGAGAGTTGCTGTATTTACATGCATGTGAATTATCTTTTGAACTGACCATAATTGTAGCACAAACCCATAACATTATTAACATAATTATTTTACATAATTATTCTGTGCTGTTGTCACATTATATTTTGATAATGGACATTAGAAGTCTCTGGATGCTGCACCTAAAGCTTTGGTGGTCTCATGGTGATTTAAATCAACAGTTTTAAATTAGGAAGAAACTAGGCCAATTCTTGCTGGTGTGATGCATATACCTTCTATATCAGTGTTTCTCAACCTTGGCCACTTGAAGATGTCTGGACTTCAACTCCCCGGCTGGGGAATTTTGGGAGTTGAAGTCCTGACGTCTTCAAGTGGCCAAGGTTGAGAAACACTGTTCTATATAATACTGCAAATCTAATCACTAAACCAAATTAATTTGCAGCTAAATAGTTGGATACTATTGATCTAATTTTGTAATGGTGAGCAGTCATTGTATCTTTGTTTCATACTGAACTCACAATGCATGTTTTGTTAAAACGTATGAGTAATTATTTTAAAGGTTCCATAATTAGATTTTGAAGGAAGTGGAGCTCTGCATAATCTTACCTTTTTTCTTTGTAATGCTGCTGATTTTTGCTACTCCTGGTCTGACTCAGACTCAAAATAAAGCAATATTGTCCTATGATTGATAATTTGAAATCAGATCTAACTTTTATTGAATCTCTTTTGTATTTAATTTTATCAGGTGAAAATGAAATGCTGATATATGGTAACTGAAGTATAAATATTTCTATTAGAATATATGAATGCTTTGTTATTCATTTATGTAAAAAAATTAAGAGTATCTCATAGAACACTAATTGAATGAGGTTATGTATTTAACATGAATATACTTAATATTTGAGAATATCCTAGCTTTTTTTCAATTTTTTTAAATTTGTCCTTTATGATTATTTTAATTTATTGCCTGCCTTAACTGGAAGTATGTATGTGAGAGGGAAACGTGGAATACAAATATGAAATTAACTAAACTCAAATGTGTTTTTTTCTTTTCTACAAATTGATTTGATACCTCCTGTTTTGCTACTGTTTTTCCTCTAACTCAGCGGTTCTCAACCTATGGGTCACGACCTCATTTGGGATCGATCGACCATTTCACGGGGGTCGCCAAGCAAGGCTGTCCGCCATTGTTTTCCCCTTTTCCAGCGGGTGCCTTACCTCCCTTGAGCTGGGCCAGCTGGTGGTTGGCCTGCTCCGTCTCTGCCGCTTGCCAGCTATGCCTCGGCTGGCGCAGGGGGCGGAACCACGCATGTGTGGCGCTCCCGGGCAGGGAAAGTCCTCAACTTACGACCGGTTGGGTAGTCCTCAACTTATGACCAGTTTAGTCCTCAACTTACGACCGGCTTAGTCCTCGACTCACGACCGGTTTAGTCCTCAACTTACGACCGGTTTAGTCCTCGACTTACGACCGGTTGGGGGTCGTGGCATTAAAAAGGTTGAGAACCACTGCTCTAACTGTTCCGATTTATTTTAATTGAATCAAAACAACATGTAGTTGAAATATAAATGCTCATCATAGAATAAATGGAAGATCCTAAAATAAGGATTTTTACACTTGTGAGACCATCTCTCCTCAACTGAATCAACTTGTTCTTTTAGATCCAGCAGGAAGGGCATTTTCCAGAAACCCCCCCCCCCTCAGGTGCTGTCATCTGCTGGGACTGTCAGCCTTCCTAGGTTGACTGGACAGGAAACACGATAAGCTAATTCTATTTTACTTTAAGGCTACATTATAAGAATCTTCTAACTCTGAAAGTACAAATCTTTTTACAAACGGATAAGTTAAGATCCTTTCTGAATTTCTTTTTGCCATTATGCAGCTAGGAGCTCTGTCCCTAGATGCATCTCTCTGTTCGTCCTCACCACACAAGGTCTTTCCCACCTACCATCACAGGGACCTAGGAAGAGATCTGTTTATGCTGTGATGCCTGAGGTTTGGAACATTAGTTTCCCCAGAGATTAGACTTGCCCTGGCCTTACTGATCTTTTTATAAGATCTTGAAGAAAGGCTTTTGTCATCAAGCCTGAGGCCCTTGGATGTATGGCTGAGCCTGTATCAAGATTGACTGTTGTGGTTTGTTGGCTTTTCTTGGCTGTTTTATATATGTTTCTAGTTTTGTTATATTGTCTCGCTGGATGTAGATGTACTTGATATATGTAGCTTTCACTGTTACATAGTAGAGATTAATTTGCCTGATAATTCTTGAGATTTTTTTTAAATTTTTAATTTAAATTTAATTTTTTAAAAATTTAAAATATGCAAACATGAGAGATTTAAAACCTTTATTCTTCATTTTGAATTTGTTTTGGGGGCAGTTTTTTTTTTTAAAAAAAAATTCTACACAAACATGGTATATGTTAAAGAATTAAGTCTCCCCACAATCCCTCAACACTGATTGTGTTGTTGAGCTAAGCAACTTCTGGACTCTAGAAGACCATGGTTTCTAACTCCTATATTCCATAATGATGTTAATAGATTCTGCCTTTTTCACCTTCATTTTGTAAATATCATTTGTATTTATTTACACACAATAAAATTAATACTAAGTTAAACCCATTGCCTTATACCAGGTATTCTTAATAATAATAATAATAATAATAATAATAATAATAATAATGATGATGATGATGATGATGATGATGATGATGATGATGATGATGATGATGATGATAATAAAGTTGGAGGGAACCTTGGAGGTCATCTAGTCCAACCCCCTGCTCAGGCAGGAAATCCTATACCATTTCAGACAAATGGCTGTCCAGTCTCTTCTTAAAAACTTCCAGTTTTGGAGCATTCACCACTTCTGGAGGCAGGTTGTTCCACTGGTTAATTGTTCTAACTGTCAGGAAGTTTCTCCTTAGTTCTAGGTTGCTTCTCTCCTTGATTAGTTTCCTTTAATGACTACAGTTGGGACTGGCAACTCCATCATTAAGTGGCGGGATCATTAAGTATGACATTACATGCACCCAAATTTCACTTTTTTATAAGCTTCTCCATTGACTTTGCTTGTTGGAAAGTGGCTTTGGAGCACACAAATAGTGATCGTGTAATTGCAGGATGCTGTGAAGGTCATAAATCCCTGATGGTTGTAAAGCACCCAAACCTCTATCACATGACTGTGGAAATGCTGTGATGGTCATAAGTGCGAGGGCTTGAGGGCGCCATCAGAACTTTGAACGGTGACTAAAAAGGGCAGGTGTTAAGCAAAGACTAGCTATTCACTTAAAAGATGAATTGAATAGTTCTGTGAGGTAACTTTTGTGGCATAAAATTATTTAATAACACATTTTTCTGTTTATATGCAGGTACAGGTGGGCCAAGCAGATATCCCTTGCCCGATTACAGAGTGCAGTGAACATCTGGATGAAACCACCATTCTCTTCAATTTGCCACATGATGACATCATCAAATATAAATACTTCCTGGAACTTGGCCGTATTGGCTCAAGCACCAAGCCATGCCCTCAATGCAAGCACTTTACAACCTTCAAGAAAAGAGGTCATATTCCGACCCCTACCAAAACGGAGAACAAGTACAAAGTGAGCATGCTCACACAAGTAATGGATTAAATGGCAGAGCTGTGAGCAGCAAAATTAGGCCAGGATATGGTGGGCATTTAAATGGGCTTTCTTCTCTTACTGGAATCTCATGTAAGCTGTGTTTTTAGACTACAAATATATAGCTTCATACCCAGTATTAGTCAGCCATTAATCTATCTGGACTAGCTAGTCAGATGCTGTGTTAATCCTTATGTTTGTTGTGTCTTTTTGTCTACATTTGGAAATGGCCCTGCAATATTTTATGAAGTTTGTCAGTTCTTACACTCTGAAGTACTTGGTGGTCTTTTGCAATATTTATTTTAAGTATTGTACTATATGAGTACCTAGCTGAATTTTACAAAGTTCCCAGCTTTACTTTTGTGAGTTGGTACTGCACTGAAATCAACCCATCTCAAAGTACATGGGCTTTGCATTTTACTCTTGGGATTATTCTGATTTCTTTGTGCCACTTTGATCTGAAATTCAATTAGGTAGTTAATAGATCTTACCTATGAGAATGCAGCTATATAAGCTTAGTTCTATTAGGGGCGAGACCTGACTCAAAAACAGTAACTATGAGAGGGACCTTGGAGTCCTAGTGGACGATCACTTGACTATGAGCCAGCAGTGTGCAGCAGCAACTAAAAAAGCTAATACAATCCTGGGTTGTATAAACAGAGGCATAGAATCAAGATCATATGAAGTATTAGTACCGCTTTATAAAACCCTAGTAAGACCTGGAATACTGCAGCCAATTTTGGTCACGATATCACAAAAAAAAATGTTGAGAGTTTGGAAAAAATTCAGAAAAGAGCAACTAAGATGATCAAAGGCCTGGAGACTAAAACATATGAAGAACAGCTGCGAGAGTTGGGTTTGGCTAGTCTAAAGAAAAGAAGAAATAGGGGAGATATGATAGCAGTATTCCAGTATTTGAGAGGCTGCCACAAAGAAAAGGGGGTCACGTTATTCACCAAAGCACCAGAGGGAAGGACGAGAAACAATAGTTGGAAACTGATCAGGGAGAGAAGCAACCTGGAATTAAGGAGAAATTTCCTGACAGTGAGGACAATTAACCAGTGGAACAGCTTGCCTCCAGAAATCGTGGGCACTCCATCATTGGTGATTTTTAAGAGGAGACTAGACAGTCACTTGTCTGAGATGGTATAGGTCAGTGGTTCTCAACCTGTGGGTCGGGACCCCATTTGGGGTCGATCGACCATTTCATGGGGGTCGCCAAGCAAGCCTGTCCGCCATTTTTTTTGTCCGCCATTTTTTCCCCTTTTCCGGCGGGTGCCTTACCTCCCTTGGGCTGGGCCAGCTGGTGGTCGGCCTGCTCCGTCTCTGCCGCTTGCCAGCTACGCCTCGGCCGGCGCAGGGGGCGGAACCACGCATGCGCGGCGCTCCCGAGCAGGGAAAGTCCTCGACTTATGACCGGTTTAGTCCTCGACTTACAACCAGTTTAGTCCTCGACTTACGACCGGTTTAATCCTCGACTTACGACCGGTTGGGGTCGCGGCATTAAAAAGGTTGAGAACCACTGGTATAGGTTCTCCTACTTGAACAGGGGGCTGGACTGGAAGACCTCCAAGGTCCCTTCCAGTCTACTCTTCTCTAAATATATCGGTTGTTATAGGTGCAGTATATTTTTAGAAAAATGCACACTAAAATATGCATGATAAGATACTGCATGTGCAGAGTCCCAGATTAAAAATTTTATATATATAAAAAGAATCATCAGTAATATAGGCATAGAGTTTTTCTTTAGGTTCTTCTTTTTAATGTTTATGTCTGATGCTGGGGTAATTTAAAAGACTATATAATAGTAAAAACAAGATTTGGAAACAGTGGTTCAGTGAGCTACAGGATCAGGACTACAAATTAGGGATTGGTAGAGAAATGTATAACACATTTTCTTCTTGTGATATTTAATGTGTTTCTGATATATTATTAACTCATAGTCCAAACTCATGGGTATGCTCATTGATTTTAGAATTTGCAGTTGTAGATAATTCATTGCCAGAAGGATGCAGTCAGCACTAACTGATATTTAAGTGGTTTTTTTTAAAAAAAAATGCTCAGTATGGTATGCAGAATTGGGTGTTTTGCTTGTTTTTCAGCATAGACTTTTATAGAACAGTGTTTTAGAAAAGTCCCATTAAGGTTTCTTCTATATAACCCAGTTATTTTGTTGGTTGACCAAAATTGAGATTATCATGTCAGTTTAAGTGGAGTTAAATATCTCCATGCTTTTCTTACTAACTGGTACCTGTAGGTTCACAGTCTTAAACATGAATAATGTTCCACAAATCATATGTAAATAATTCATTTATGTTCCAAAACATTTTTCAAATAGCTTTTCAAATATTGCAGGGAATCAAAAGTAACCCTCTTTAAAGCAACTGAATCTATTTAAAGATATTATATAGTAGCTGTACAAGACAGTCACATGATCCTTGGAAAAGATGTCTCTGCTTTAAAATATTTTAGACTATATTCTCATATTCGCTAAACGGACTTTTTGGAACTGAACTGGAAACTTTGTACTGCCCTAATATTTAGATTTTAATGTAATATTTATTAGATGGGATTTTATAATCCAATATTTCATCATATTGAATTAATTAGATATAAAAGCATAGTGTTCTTTGAAAATATTTTTATAATACAGGGCCCTTAATGAATATATCTTTTTTTTGTATTCTTAATTTTTGTTTTAGGACTGATGTACTTTACAGTATATTTTACATTCTCTCTTGAATTGTGTTTTTCTTAATCATATTGAAAGTATTAGAAAGCAGATTCAAAGTTAATAGATTAGAACTTTGGAATGTGTTATTGACTTGTATCCTTACTCATCCCTCACTTTCTTCATTTCTTAAAGTACTCTTCTCTATTCTGCTGTCTAGACAATATGGCCAGCACATTGAGTAATGCTGCTTTAAAGGCTCCCCCCCTTAACTTCCTAATAGTTGCTATGCCTTGCAAATATATAACTTGTTACTGTGGACATTATGACCAACTTTGATTTAAGAAAATCTACAAAAATTCCTGTGAGCTTTGAACCATAATTTATTCAGCTCATGATATCTGAACTGTTTTGTGGAATTATCCTTTGGGAATCCATTATACTTTAAGAAACTCAAAATTAAATTTGCATGTCAGTTGTTCATGAAAGACATGCAGTGAAAAAAATCTGACAGTATGATATTAGGGTGGATATATCTTGTTTTCCTAAAATAGAGCTTGAAATTTACAGAAAGTTAGGGTGTACACTTTAATGGCAACTTATGGATTTCTGTGCATTGTTGATTTTTTTCTGCAAAACATTTTTCTGCTTATTTATTTTATTTATATTCTCCTCACATCAGCATATATAGCATTCTCTCCCCCTCGTTTTTACACACAACATCAACCCGGTCAGATATACTAGGTCAGGGGTGTCAAACTGCCGGCCTGCGGGCTGGATGCATCATGCCAAAACTGTGCCCACCCCATTGCCGGCAGTGGGGAAAAAGTCACGATATGTCGTGATATGACATCGTGAGTTTGATACCCGTGTACTAGATTGAAAATCAGTGTGAAACACAGTTGGAAAAGAAAATATTCACACACAAAACCTTGGGGATAGGCTATCTGGTGCCCTCTGGATGTTGAATATTGCAAGACTTATTGCCCTAACCACTAACTATGTTGGTTGAGCTGATGAAAATTAAACCCAAATCATCTGTAGGGAACCAGGCTAAATCCTAAATTTATTTATTTGGAATATGGCATGGAATATATGGATAGTAGTAGTAAGGATGTATAGAAGGAACACATAATAATATGATACATGATGGAGATGTGTGGTCAATTTTGTAAGGCATAAGAACTTCAAGAAGTTATTGAGTTAGATTTTTGTATCTTATTAGACAAACTGTAAGGCTACACAAAGCATTACATAGATACTTTTTAAAGTACTCCTCTTCAAATCATTAAGGTATTTGTAAGCCTTTTAAAGGATCAAGTGCTTGATTCAGTGGCTGTGTATTTGTGCATGCTTAGGCAGCTCTTCCATAGAATATGCTGGCAAAGTTGTTTGGACTTCAGATACTTGCTGAAACAATTTGGAGTAGACCTTAAGACAGTTTTGTGGAGTCTTCCAGAAGATGTAGAGACAGTACTTGGCTCTTTGAGTAGTGGTCTTTCATGTGCTAAGTACAGCATCTACACCTAACTTAATCCTTCAGTTGAAAGGTTTTGCACTGTTTAAATAATCTAAATTTTCTATACATATATATGATCTGCAAGGGTCCTTGGTGCTCTCTGAGCTTGCTTGTTTTCTTGCAAACATTTCATTACCCTAACTAGGTAACATCATCAGTGCTTTTCTTCTGCAGACAGATTTTTAAGGATAGATTCAGTTTTGCTGACATAAAAAATAAAAGCCATTTGCTATCTTTCTTTGAACGCTACTCTTTACCATTCTTTGCATATAGAGGAGATATCTTCAATGGCAGATCTTGCAAAAGCAGTAAATTATACCAGCTGTTTCCTACACACCCAAAAAGGAGAATACTTTGTAAAATATGGTACATGTTAAGCTTGCAGTATAAAACTGTTAGTGTTTTCTCCTTTTACTTCAATGTTTACTGGTTCTAAATTTTGCACTTTTTCTGTGCAAATGCAATTGCCAATTCTTACTTAGCAATACTTAGCAATTTAATGATAATAAAGAATTATCAGGTTTAGCCCTATAAGCAGTTTACGTCTGGCTAGGTTTAATTTGATATTCAAATTTACCTCATATTGTTCAAGTGACCAAATATCTGTGTTGCAAAACTAGGTTTTAGTTGAACATTAAGAACACAACTTGCTCAACTAGGTCATATTTACATATGATTATTAATATTTCAAAGGTCAGCTGCTTTTTTTTTAGGTTACTGCCTGTCAAGCAGAGAGCTCAGCTGAACAGCTCCCATCAAGGATAGAATATTGCAACTTGGAAAAGTAGAAGACCAGGTTGGAAGGATAATTGCCCAGTGGGTTACCTAATTTCTAAGAAGAGGACTAATCAAAGCAGTGCAAAAAATGCCATGATTTGATTCAAACTATATTTCTGGTTTTTAAAACTATAACATATTCTGTTGAAAATACGATATAGGAATAGATAGTGTATTTGCCCAAATATATGTTACCAGGAAGAAGATTCATTCAATTTCTTGTGTCTTTTCTCTAGAAACATATAGAGCATTCCATTTTTTTTTCTTTCAAATATTGGGCTAAGAGATAGCAACTGGGCCAGTGAGCTTGGTGGCTGGGAGGGTCTTGCACACGGAAATCCCTAGTGCTGTTACTTACAACAATTTAAGCACACCATTTCACTGGGGCTCATTTATGGTAAGAGAAAATAGGCATTTATCTATGCCTCCTTGAACTCCTGAATGAAAGGCAAGAATAAAGTCAAACAAATATAGCTCGCAGTCCTGACATAGTCTGTGGCTATGGGAAGTACCTAGAACAAAGAACTGTAGTATGAGATTATTCTTTGTGTGTTATACTGTTTTCCTATTATTTCAAGCAGAGGCAATGCTTGGCCACATTGCAGTCATCTATTATATATATAGATCTATGTTTCAAAAATTAAAATAAAATAGATCTGTGCCTTGACCATGAAGACATAATAAACTTGATCTCTGTTTAATTAATGTTCTGCTAACAGCTTTGCTATGTGATATTTTTAGAGCCTCGAGAGCTGTATAAATTCTTATGTATACAAAACCTCATTCAAGAGAACTGGCCTTGGTCAAAGGTCATAATAATAGGATGCTTGCTGAAATCTTAGTGGAATCTTACCAGGACACTTGTTCCATTGCAACAAAATCCATAATCCTTATCACATCCAGGTTGTTGCAGACAAATAGCTATAGGGTTCTATCAAAGTGCCTTACCAATATGAAGATAAATTGATTATCTTGGTATTAATAAGGAAAGATTAACATATGACACCAGTTTTTTATTTGGCATGTTATAATAAATGTAACATGGATTTTTATGAAAGTTAAAAACTGTCTGAGAGTCATCACTGGACAAGATGGGCAGCACATAAATAAATAAAGGCATAAAACAGGTGAGAAATAGAGTAAAGACTGAATGTGTTTGCCTGTTTTAGGAGTAGAACACCCAAAGCATTCAGCAGATGGTCTCCATTATTCATTTTATGATATTTGCTTTCCTTAGAGGAAAAGTAAACATAAGCATACAAAGATTACTATGTAATTGTACTTGGTCCATAGTGCATATTGAAAACTTAGATTCCTGTATTCCTTAAAGATTACTACCAAAATATTGTAAGAATGATAGTACTTTAGTATACTACAAAACTTAAAACATGAACATTTCCTCATTTCCATAATGAGGAAAAATTAACATGACAGAAAGCCTGAACAAATTCCCAGATGTCTATCAGCCAATGACCAAGAGCATTTTCTTACTATATAAGGCTCCACCTGAAGATTTGTTCCAGATCCCATTTAATGTAAGATTGAAGGCTTTGATGACAATCCTATCTATCAGGGGCATGTAACTTTTTATAAACTGGGGATCACAGCCTTTGATTGGCAGGCTTTGCAGCCAGAGGGTCCAAGATTCCAAAAAGAAAGTGGGCATTACCGTGACAAATATAAATTAATTTAAACATTACAATTTAGCTTTTTAATTAACTTGGAAGAAAGCCTGTCCTCTATATCTACTGAAGATTGAATATTGATTAGTGTTTTCCATGTACCATTTTTCAACTGATTGTTAATAAGAATTTCCAACTTTTTCTAAATTTGTTCAATTTCCTAAGGAAAAGCTGGTCTATAGTTGGTTCTCAGTGGAAAAATAATAATAGTAATAATAATAGTAATAATAATAATAATAATAGTAATAATAAATGGATATTTTACTTCTTAACTTCTGGGTTTGGTTAGAGCACTAATATTGGTGATAAGAATAGGTTTTGTACTGACAGTAGTTGAAGTGGAATTAGTGTGGTAGGGAGATAAATTATAGAAATCAGTCTGCAGTGACCCCACTCTGATTTCAAGAGAATTTTATTGGTTTAAACTGCCAACAAAGTTAATTCCCTATGAAATGTCTTTTTCTCTCATTGGTAAGGCTTCTTAAGAGCTTCATCTTAATGTGTGAGTAAATGAGAAGTTGCAGACTTAGAAATAGGTCCTTGACTTACAACAGTTCATTCAAAGTTACAATGGCACTGAAAAATGTACCTTATGACTGTTTTTTCACAGTTACGACCATGATCACATGATCAAAATTCAGATGCTTAGTGACTGGTTCATATTTATGACCATTGCTGTGTCCCAAGATTATGTGATCATCTTTTGTGACCTTTTGACAAGCAGAGTAAATGGGGAAGCCAGATTCACTTAACAACCAGATGACTAAGTTATCAACTGCAGTGATTCACTTAACAACTGTGGCAAGAAAGATCATAAAATGGGACAAAACTCACTTAACAACAGAAATTTTGAGGTCAGTTGTGATAATAAGTCAAGGTCTACCTGTATTAGGTGATTTTTTTTTATGCATGCCTTCACCATCTACCCCCTTGTTTCATGCAAGGAGGAGCTGAGATATGCTTTCCCAGCCTCAATTAATGGCCATTGGTTTAGATGTTTATTGCTTTATGCTCTTATTTAAACAGATCCAGTGCCCAACCTGCCAATTTGTGTGGTGTTTTAAGTGCCATTCCCCGTGGCACGAAGGTGTCAACTGCAAAGAGTTCAAAAAAGGAGACAAACTGCTACGTCACTGGGCCAGTGAAATCGAACATGGGCAAAGAAATGCTCAAAAGTGTCCAAAGTGCAAGGTAAGGCAGCGCATGCTCATTCAATACTCTTTGAAGTGCTTGAGCAAAGTCAGTTAGTAGAACTAACACCTACCAAGAAACAAGCTGAGAAAACTAATCCCTATCATCTGTTGACATTACAGCTCTTATCACCCTCTTTATGTTGAACATGACTTTTAGAACAGTGAACAATCTACTTCTCAGGAAAAGAAAAGAGTTAAATAACCCTAACCCTCCCTCATTTCCAACTTTTTTTTTTTTTAAAGCTAAGCTGTATTTAAATAACAAGTTCTGAGAATACACTGTCTGGGTAATGATATTTGATAATGTATTTCTCTATTTCAAGACATTACTGATCAGAAGGTGGAGAAAAAGGAATTCCAACTGAACTTTTTGGATGAAATGTACATTTGGCCATTTTGAAAAATACTGCATTTTAAAAAAAATATTAATGTAGGTTATTGACGAAAGGTGAATTGAATTGCCAAGATTTGCTCCATGTTTCCTAAAGAAAGACCAGTGCAATGCAGTTTTATGTGAAAATGTTTTATTTTTAAAATTAAAACCATTTAACTATTTTGTTTTAAATTTTTAAAAAAATTATGCCAATACTCATTTATTTTTTTAAGAAATATTTGCTTTTAACAGGTGAATTACCATGTAGCTTAGTTTCCATATTGTACATGAAATGTCAATGGTATTTTCAGGAATGAGCATCATCACATGATTTTACAGATTGGCTGCTTTCTTGTGTTACTGAACATCTTGAAAAAAACGACCAAATCTTGCAAAATTTTAACCCCTAAAATTTTGAGGAGGTCACTGATTGACGGTTGCTTTTTCCCCCGTAGGCAATATTTCTCTGATCTGTGCTTTTAAACAAATAAGATGAATTGAAAAGTTGGAACATGCAAATTTATTTTGTAGGAGCTGTCCAAAAGTTATTAAAACAGTGAGGCTCTTGCATTCATTTAAGTAAAATTAAGGCAAAATGTCTGCAAGAAAGTGCATAAATAGCATTAAGGCAGTAAATAGGAAAATAATGTCATCAAAGTAGTCTGAAAATAGAAGATGATTTACCCTCATTCTGACGATGCAGCCTGCATGCTAAATAGCTATTGTTTGATGCATTTACGAATATGGAACTCAAAATCTGTCTGTGGGAATAAAGGGTATTTCAAGTTTCTTCATTTGACAACATTGAAAATACCAGTGAGAATGAACTTTCTACACACAACAAGAATTTTTATTGAGCAAACTTGGGCTTTATGTTCTAAGGGTGATAATATGCTACATGTTTCCACCAACTGGTTCTGCTTGTTTTTACAAACTGCATATTCATTATATAAAATCAAAGTGGAATACATTTTTGGAACACTTCATCCTGATTTGAAAATGACATTTCAGATTTCAAGCATTGTTTTCATATGCATTCCTAGTGTTATTATAAATAAATTAATCTATTTGGTTATTGCAGAGCAGGCTGTAAACCAAATGACTACTTCATTCAGTTAGTTAGCAATTTGTATTTAGTCTGCAATTCTTATTTTTAATGTCAGGGCAAAGTTACTATTTTAAAGTTGTAAGTTATGAAATTGAGTATTGTATAGAATTTAAGTAAAGGATTATTCAAGACTCTTTGCTACCATTTCTCAAAGTTTAAATACTGCTACATAAAAAAAGAAGTATTTTAGCTTTCCAATGATTTGCTATAGAAAATATGGTAGCTAACAAAAGATATTGAATTTATTTGTTATTTTTGCATCATATAGTACTCTGGAAGGGGAAATTCACAATAAAGTGGCACTAGAATTAATTACCACATGCTATTTATCAAATTTCTTCAAAAGTTTTTGATGAAAATAAATAGTTTACTAGCAAACGTAATTTGTATCAATTTGAGTATAACTTTCAAGTGCAATTTAAAATACTTCGAATATACTACAGTTTTAAGGAGATGGATTTTAATAGTTGAATTATATAGTTAAGTTATACATCTGAAAAGTTATACATTTCAACAGATTAAATTTTAAATACATTGTGCAAAAATACTGCTTTACTAACTTACAGCATATTCTAAAATATTTTTGCTGTAATAGGGAATTCACAAATAAAATACCTAGAATCTTGATTTGCTTCTAAAAAGTAGAAATAACATTGGCACTTTTCAGGATTCTTTATGACTTTTTGTATAAACTCTATGTGATTATGCTTTGTTGATTTAAAACCATTAAATTAATCATGACTTTATATTTTTATATTTTTTTTTGAATTTAATTAGCCCATTTGTTGTATGTTTTATTATTGTGAGCCACTCAAATTTTGGAACAACAGACACATAACATTAAATAGATAAACAACTGAATGGATTTGCTTAATAACCAAACATTAATAAACTAGAAATACAATCAATTAATAAGAAAAAATCAAAAGAACCAAGTTTTCATTGAATTTGGGGGGGAAATAATATATGTATTAAATGTATTTAATTATTTTAATATTCAAAATTTCAGCCTTTCTAGTATCAATCCCTATGTGTATCATGGAGTCTTTCTTGATGTCTATGTACTGTGTATCTGGCCATAGACTCATACTGTTGATTACCTTCCAAAACATACCAACGGCACTATATAAATACAAATCTATGCCCAAAGACTTAAGGAGAGAGCTTCTCTAGCAACTGCTTGGTGATGGTCTATGGGATAATAACTTTTCTCCTTGGCTAGGAATGACAGGCTTGGAATGCTTGTTTGTGAAGTCTCTGAATTGCTGAAAAATCTTGTAAATTTTCTTGAATGTCTTAACTTTGCAGCATTTTAATTGTTTTTCATAGATTTAAGTTACATTTGTATCATTATTATAGAGCAAATAACTAGTCTCTTAATTTTATGAATTTTTGTGGCTTTAAACAGCATTTTAGAAACCTTAATTTTAGCTTCTCCTATAAGTCTCTCTATCAATAAATTAGTAGCTTTCTTCAGAATTTGTTGGATGATTTGTCAAAAAACAATTGAGATAGTTTAATGTTGTGAGGAATCTTCCTTTTTTAAAGCGATTATTTTTATCCTCTGTCCCACCTGTTTTATTTTTAAAGATTCATATTCAGAGAACAGAAGGCTGTGACCATATGACTTGCTCACAATGCAACACTAACTTCTGTTACCGCTGTGGGGAGAGATATCGCCAGCTTCGTTTCTTTGGAGATCATACATCAAACCTCAGTATATTTGGATGCAAATACCGCTACCTCCCTGAAAATCCACATTTAAGGAGATTAGTGAGAGGCTCTGTCTGTGGTAAGTGGGGTAATAAGATCTTTTGGAGAATTGTATCATCTACGAATTAATTGCCATTTATAGGAACCCCGATGCTTATTCCTCGTTAACATGTAGAATAATAAGCAATTCCTCTTCCAACTATAAATTTTTGTTCTGAACATGAGATTCATTACCATAGGAATTTCTTCCTAAAGTATGTTTGTCATGTTTTCTAATTGTGTACATCTTGAGGTTACATAAAGAATTGTACAAACATGATTTGAAGTCCTTAACAAATACGCAATTAGATGCCAGTTATATATTTTGAGAATCTGACAATCTAGAGCAGGGGTGTCCAACCTTAGCAACTTTAAAACTTGTAGATTTCAACTCCCAGAATTCCCCAGCCTCCATAATAGAATGGAGAAATTAGAACTTTTCACAATCAGATTTGCTAACATAATGATGGATTTATCCTAATACTTTCTACACATTTCAGACTTAATCTGTTTTTTAAAAAATGCAAATCACGTATCTATAGAAAATAATAAACAACTAGCTTACACATTTTCCATTGTCTCTTTCGTCCTTTCCATCTGCCTGGTCTCTGTCTCTGTATAGGAGGCACCTGACTTCCAGAAGAAGTGATAATAAATTGAATAATTAAATAACCTTGAAGGGTGTCATAGTTGCCAAAAGTTTTGTTGCTATTACAAAGAATGAGTTTCAAAGTACAGGGGTTTTGTTCAGATCATGATGTCATTCTGTTTAAAAAATTGAGAGGTTTATATACAGTATATATAGTGTTTTAATGGAACTCTCATAATATGTATCAGAATCAGAATCAGGGTGCAGAGTAGCTTTGTAGAACTTTTTATTTCTTTTACCCTTTTACTAGATCATGATGTCCATGATAAAATAATGTCCAATGTGAGCAGCAGAGTTTAAAATAAATAAATAAAGTACACTGGGTGTTTTAAAAATATATCTAAACTTAAACGATGACTGCCTATTCAGAATTATTAAAAAAATCTTTTAAGGGGGAATTTCTTGACAATTTTACTGCATTGTTGGAAGGATCTTTGATTTTATAGAGCTGCTAATAAGTACTAAACATTGAGAAATGGTAGAAAAGAAAATACGTTAAGGAGACACATTAATAACAATACTAGTAGCTGGAACAGTAGTACATCTGCTCTGCCAATGAAACTCAATAAAATATGAAATAAATGTGCTGACCATTCCATTAAGCAATTACTGCAATGTTAACTGAATTATCAGTGGAAGCTATCATGCTTAGGTATGAGGTAGCTTGCCTTATAAATTGTAGGTGGATGGGGGAGTTTATTGAAAAGTGACCAAAAGAAGGAGTTTATTGACAAATTACCAAAAGAATACATTTCTACTATGTATTCCCTTTTCTGTATCTTCATCTGCTAAACTATAGGGTGGGGAACATAAAGAAGAAACATGCTTTTAAAAACTATTTGGCAAAGAACAAGGCAAAATGTTAACTAATTTCTTTTTGCCCAGCTGCTTTGAAATGCAAGATGCTCTTCCAAGTTGCTGATGTTTTGGCCAAGGTTGCATATCCCAGTGATAGTTTGAAAAATAGTAAAATGCAGTGCTTTTAAATGTATTAAGATATTAAAGCACTGCAGAATCTGAATCCAATTAAGTGAATTAAATAATAGATCAGATGGTGCATTATTGTTTATGTATTGTACTCAGAGGTAAAACAAACCACGGAATTCATTCCTTTATGGGGGAGAGGGAGGGAGCTACTTGGCATTCAACAGATTTCAATTGATTTAACTTCAGAAGAGGTATACAGATGTACAGATTACTGAATGATCATGATTCCCTGTCCATAGAGAAGCCTCTCTATAATCAGTAGAAAATATGTATTTTTAAATGTCCAGGACTAAATTTAATTTCTCTAATTTAACAAGATATGCATACATCTGTCTAGACCAGGGGTAGGCAACCTCGGCTCTTTTATGACTCATGGACTTCAACTCCCAGAATTCCTGAGTCAGCTGTGCTGACTCAGGAATTCTGGGAGTTGAAGTCCATGAGTCATAAAAGAGCCGAGGTTGCCTACCCCTGGTCTAGACAGAACTAGGACAACTAACAAATTAAGAGCACCATTTCCAATGCTTATTGAAGTATCGTGTATATGTGTGTGTGTTTATATATTGTTTGGAATTTTGATCTGGAATTACATTTGTTGTACTGAGTTTGGGTAAAGATTGCATTAAAAACCTACTACACTTCCAGGTTGAAAGGATTAGCTGGTGACTTCACCGTTGCCTGGGAGATGCCCAGTTGGGTACTCCTTTCATGTCCCTGTTAATATGCCCACCGAAGTGGTACCTGTTTATGCCCACCGAAGTGGTACCTGTTTTGCATTTGCATGTTTTTGAACTGCTAGGTGGGCAGGTGGACATACCACACTTTGACGTACAGTACAGTAGGTATGCAAGATTTTTAGATCTTGCTTTTTTTCCTCAAATTCTGCTTTGTTGTTTCACCACTGTGTGCATTTCATGCTTGTGAGCTGCTCCATAGTGAGTTTCTACACTGCACAACAGTCTGCTTTTGACACAGAAAAGCATTAGAGACATTGCATAATTTGCCTATTACTGCTATTGTAAATTTCTGGTCCAGTGAAGAATCTCCATTTGACCATGTTAATTCTTGGCCAAGTTCCTTTGCTCATTAAATATTATTTCTAAACCAGATAAGCAACTGTCTCTTAAATATCAGAAAAGTCAGTTTAAAGCCGACAATAGATGAATCATTTGCAAACTGAAAATAGACTTGCTGCTGCAGTTGTATTGTTTGGGGCTGATATTGTCATTGCACAAAATTAAGATAGTCTTCAGCCTAGGAATACCTTTTAATGGCCAAAGTTACCATGCCGATAAAGCACAGCCATTGCAAAACATCTCACTGCACCTTCCCTCCACAGTCAGATGACCATATTTTGGGAACTTGACAACTGGCTTGTATTTATGACTAGTTGCCAAGCACTGTACAATCATGTAATTGCCATTTGCAGTCTTCTCTGCCAGCTTCGGCAGAAAGCCAATTGGGAAGCTCATGAGAAAGGTTGCAAGCGGAAGGGATAGAGAAGAGAGAAAATTCCTTGTGGGGCTGCAGGAATAGAGCTGAAACATTTGAGTTTGAAAGGGCTTCCTGCCAGGAGGATTTCAGCTCCACACAGAACTGAAATCCTCTGGCAAAGCAGGCCTTTCACTTTCAAGGAACTGCCTGCCAGGAGGATTTCAGTTCTGTGCAGAACTGAAATCAGCAGACAGCTCTTTTGCTCTAGCCATTTAATGACCAGAAGATTGTTTAATTACTGCAACTGTAAGTACCAAGATTGTGGTCATTGAGCAAAGCAGTCACATAGTGTCTAACAACTGAGATTCTGGTGCTAATTGTGGTTGTAATTTGAGGAGTATCTGAATATGTATATTATCGTGCACATGCAAATGCAAGT